TAAAAAAATAATGTGGGAGCCTTTGCATATCCAACCTTTCAGACTTACAGACAAGAAGAAATATCAGAAATAAGTTGAAAAAGTTGAGAATACATAGCCAGACATAAAAAACGTACTTAGCAAATTAAAATTAAACCAATTAAACTTCTTAAAGTGCTTTTTCTTCCAATGCGCTTATTGGAGGAAGGAAGTGGGCTGTTAAAGTGTTAGTAAACAAATGGGATATTCTAAAAGAGCATACTCTTACATTTTCCGAGACCTAAATGGTCCAGGTAGTGTACATATCGCGAAAGTAGTTAAAAAAGAAGATAAAAAAGAGTAAATAAAGAGAAGAGCTCAAAAAATTGATGAGAAATAAATGAAAAGAATTATAAAAGCAGTACCAACCCGGTGGTTGTTGTGATGATGAGGCAACACTGGATGGGCTTGGCGTATTGTTGCCATCAGAAGACGACATGGCCCTTTGAACAGTGGTGGTGGTTCTTTTCAGAACCCAAAAAACGGGAGGGGGTTCGGCTGTAGAATAGGGCCGCCCCGTGCCTGAAATACTCGAAGAGATCGACGTTTCTTCGACACTTCGTGCCGGCAGAAAACCAACGGGGCTGAGACGAGGACGGGTGATGAACGAATTGGGAAAAAACGGTCATAGGACGACGAAGTAAAAAAACCGAAAGACGACAATTCGTGCAACTGTTGGGGACAGCATTGATAGTTGTGATAAATTTTGTTGAAGAACGAAAAAATAAATGTGAAATGACACGGAAATCAAATGTGAACATGGAGAAAAAGTGTTTTCAGAGAATTAGATACAGCAATTCTAAGACATTTCCCGACTAAAAGTGATTCTTTGCTCAGAACAAGAAAATAATAAACCGCTTAGAGTAGAGATTTGAGAGAAAAGAATCTCCGCATGTGTCGATATCGGCTGGTGTGGAGGAAGTTTCCTCACTGGCGTTCATACAGAAAAAACTCACTGAAAACATTGCCGACATTAGTCATACGCACTGAGTGTATGCGATCGTATAGAAAGGAGTGTTTTCCTTCGTTCAAACAAAAACACTTTTTCATCGTAAAATAGGAATTTTCCAGACACTAGTCATAAGCTGGATAACATTTCCGAATATTTTTAGACTTACATCTTTTTATTTCTTTTTTAAGTTTCCAAAGGGTTTACGAACTAAAATAGCTTTATTGCTGATTTAAAAATATATTTTGCTTTTGAACACATGAACGAGTAAGTTACTTAATTATCTTTGCTTAGAAATGATGCAATATTTAGCAAATATTTTGTTCTTCAAAAGAGGAGTTTTATGATTTTGTGAACAAATTCATCTCAATTTATAGAAATGTACACCTGTAACATACAAGCTCTTGCCATTCTAAAACTTGTCTTCGCAAATATCAATGGTTATCAAATGTTAAATTTCACAAATGATGTGTACTAGAAAGTAATTAAGTTTCACGGCGATATTCTAATTACAACTTTCCAAACAGTTGTTATATG